ACATCTTCCCCTGGTTTCGCCCGAGTGCTTGAGGGAGAAGAGCAGGGGTTATTCCAGGCGGTCGGCTGTGTCGGTCGACGGCTTTCACCTTCGGCATTACGCGCTGCTGTGTGACAAGGCCCTGCAAGTTGTCTCGTTGCTTTTCGCCATCATGGAGACGATGGCCGTTTTGCCTGAGCAGCTTCGTTTAGTCATGCTGGCAATGCTGGCCAAGCCGTCTGGCGGCCTCCGCCCCATAGGCATCTTCACCTCGCCCTACAGACTTTGGGGGAGATGCAGGAGGAGGGAGGCGATTATGTGGGAGGAGGCTAACCAGCATGCTATGTTCGCTGCTTATGGTTTCAAGTCGGCTTCGGACGTTGTCTGGCGGCAGACTACTAAGAGTGAAGGGGCTGTGCAGCTTGGCAAGTGCTCGGCGTCCCTCCTCCTGGGACATGTATAAGTTTTACGAAACCATGGATCTTGAGGACCTCGCTACCAGATGCGATGAGTTGGAGTTCCCCCAGGTTGTTTCCAGGCTCTGCATCGCGGCCTATCGGGCCCCCAGGTACCTGAACATCAGGGGTTTCATCCAGGGGCCGTACCTGGCGATTCGTGGTGTCATTGTTGGATGCAGTATTGCCACCAGTTTTGTCAGGGCCTATTACATGAAAGCCTTTTTGAATGTCGAGCTGCACCCGTCATCCGTCCTGGATCTTTACATTGACGACCTGGGCCTGTCAGCTCAGGGTAGTTTCCATGAAGTTTATTCGGCCATCACCGTTGGGGCTGTGGGCTTGTTCAAGGCTGTGGAGGCCGATATTAAGTGCAAGGTCGCCCCCGACAAGGCGAGCCTCGTATGCTGTCAGCGGCGTCTTGGGGATAAACTCCTGGCCTTCTTGGGTGTCTGGGCTGGCCCTGGTGGGACCTCCTCGGCTGTCAACCTGGGGACTGACGACACCGCTGGACTGCCTAGGAGGGTCAAGGGCCGTTGTAGGAAAGCCAAGCAGCGCCGCTCCACCTTCGACAAGCGTGTCAACAGGATCTGCAAACAGCGTCAGGTCCTGGGCCGTTCTGCTAAGAAGATCTTCACCAGTGGGGCTTTGGCTGGGATAAATTTTGGCTGCGAGATCCACGGAGTCAGCGACGCCGAGCTTGGTCACATCCGCCGTCAAGCGGGTAAATGTATCAGACCGTCTTGTGGCGGGCGTAGCCTCTCTTCTGCTTTGGTTTGCGAGGATGACCCCACGTACTATGGGATGGTCGCACCTATCGTTCGTTGGGGGAAGGAGGTGTGGGCGGCCCAGTATCACCAGTACTTGGGGGGTATGACTTTTAAGGAGCTCAGGAAGTGTTGGTCGTCTGTTTTCGAGGGAAAGCTGCAGCCCAAGACATGGCGTTCTGTCGCTGGCCCGATCTCTGCCCTCTTCTTGTCTGTCAAGCGCATCGGTTGGTCCATGCCCAACTACGCCACCCTCGCCATGCATGACGGCACACCAGTCTCCCTCACCTTCGTCAGCCCTACCCTCTTGAAGGACATCCTCAGGCGGGCGGTGGTTAGGGACCTGGAAATGCATGTGGGAAGGAGTTTGGACGTTGGGTGGGATCGGGCTTGCTTCGATATCTGCAAGAGCCAGCTTCGTTCGAAGAAATATACTGCTCTGGAGAAGGGTTCGATCAGGAACCTGTGCTGCGGTGGAGCCTGGACAGCCGACAGAGCCGCTGAGGTGGGCTACCAGCTCAGCGTCGAGCAGTTGCTCTGCCCACTATGTCGTGCTCATCCAGACTCTGTGCATCACAGGCTTTATGAGTGCCCAGCTGTTTCTGAGACCCGCAGCGAGCTTATTCCTCCAGAGATCCTTGAGATTGCCCTGGGTCCGCTGTCGGATGGGGATCGCATCCTTTTCGATCGGGGGATCTTTGAGCATCCTGAATCGTTCTGGCCTAGGGCCCTTAGCTCGGGGGGTGGGGCCATCCTGCCAGCTACTGAGGAAGAGGACTTCTCGGAGGAGCTCGCTAATGGGGACCTGCAGGGCAGTATCTATGTTGATGGGAGTTGTTTTTGGCATCCCGCCCCAGAACTTTCAAGGGCGGGCTGGGGGGTTTGCATGGTCTCCCCCCAGGGCTCCCTCTTGTGCGCCCTGCATGGCCCTGTGCACCACCCGATCAGCCAGACAGCACCAGCTGGGGAGTATTGTGCCCTCGCCATGGCCGCTCTCCATGTTGTTGCCAATTCCGAAGTTTTTTCTGACTGCCTTGCGGTAGTTAATCATTTCCGCCTGCCCCCCAGCGAACGCGTTTCGTTCAGGAGGCGTTATGCTGGCCAGTTCCTGTATATCAATAATGCCCCGTTTGTCCAGTCAGTGGTGAAAGTTAAAGCCCACCAGGACAAGGACGAGTCGGGCATTTCGGATGATGAGAGAATCCGCAGGGTCGGTAATGATTTCGCCGACAAAGCTGCGCAGCGCGGGGCCCGCTCTCACCCCCAACCTTCGCCCGAAGAAGAAGAGCGTGTGACCCGTGCTGTCAAGATTAGTAAAGTTGTGTGCCGACTAGCGGCCAAGTTGCTTCCATTGTGGCCTCGATTGAACTTGGAGGGTGCTCCGTTTGTCACTCCTTGCCGCACCACCCGAGGTCCCGAGGAGCCCGTGGTCCAGCATCAGTGGCAGTGGCAGCACTCTGTGTGGAGGTGCGTTGTGTGCAGGTTAGGCTCTCGTTCTAGTGTTAAGCCGCCTGGTGGTTCGTGCATCGGCGTAGCCAGAGCAGATCTGGACATCGCCGACTCTCTTTCGCACAGCGTTGTGATTCTGCCGTGCACGGATGGTTCTGATTTTTATTTATGCCCCAAGTGCGGGGGATTTATGCATCAAGCTGTGTTTGTCAAGACTGCTTTGTCCAAGGAATGTCCAAACGAGTTGCGCGGCCATGGCCGCACGAATTTTAACAAGGTCATGCTAGGCCGCCACCCAAGGAAGAACCTGGGGGTAGGCCGACCTGAAGAGTTGCCAGCAGGGGCGATTCCCGCCCTTGCGCCCTCGTCCTCTTTGCCCGTCCCCAACTTTTGAACGGATTGTTCGAAATCATTGGTCTCAGAGCGCTTTCCCTTTCTTGGGATGTGTTTTAGTTTTGTCTCGTCCCCCTCGCGGGGGTCGAGGAGCATCCAGCCCTTTTGGCGTCGTGTTGCGGCCCAACCGTGTGCTCGCTCCGCCATTAGCGTGGAGCGTACGCAACAGGCTGAGATGGTTTTCCCCCTGCTCCCCCCAATGCGGGTGTGGGCGAGGGGGTCGCCGCTGTTTCCACGGCACTGCGGGACTGGCAGCCGTTCGGCGTGAGTCCCCCCGCAGTTGCCGTGACGTCAGCGGCGGGGCAGGGCTGGTGGCGTAAGTGGCACGAGGCGCCACCCAGCCCCGCCCCTCCTCTGGGGGGAGGCGCCGTCCCCCCAGAGAGTACGGCTTGGCAGTTGTTGATGTTAAAAAAATCCTCCTCCTCCTCCTCCCTCCTCCTCCTCCTCCTCCCCCTCCTCCTCCTCCTCCTCCTTCTCCTCCTCCCCTCCCCCTCCTCCTCCTCCTCTCCTCGTCCTCCTCCTCCTCCTCCTCCCCTCCTCCTCCTCCTTCTCCTCCTCCTCCTCCTCCCCTCCTTCCTCCTCCTCCTCCTCCTCCTCCTCCCCATCCTCCCCCCCTCCTCCCCCCGTCCTCCTCCTCCCCTTCCTCCTCCTCCTCCTCCTCCTCCTCTTCTCCTCCTCCCCCTCCTCCTCCTCCTCCTCCTTTTCCTCTCACTCCCTCCTCCTCCTCCTCCTCCTCCTCCTCCTCCTCCTCCCTCCTCCTCCCCCTCCTCCCCCTTCTCCCCCTCCTCCTCCTCCTCCTCCTCCTCCTCCTCCTCCTCCTCCTCCTCCTCCTCCTCCTCCACATGCTCGAAGCTTCTGGTCAAGGGTGTTTCACGATGCTGCCGTTCTTATCGTGGCGTCGGCTCTCGGGGAGTGCGCTGCGCCCCTCGTGGGCTCAAGGCCGGGGAGCCGCCCATCTCTGGGGGCCGTGGCGCGAGGGCGTTGGGACAGTCGCGGGGCTCGGCGGCGAAATCCGGACGGGGACGACGAACACCCAGAAACGATTGGAAACGTGTTGGGGATCTTGGGGCTCGTGTCAAATACGGGAACATGTGGGCAGTGGGGGGAAGGACGAACACCATGAAACTATTGGATTCGTGTTGGGAATCCGGGGAATTGTGAACAAAAATCACGACGTCGAGGGTCTGGGGCACCGATGTACCCCAAGATTGAAAACACCCGATCAGTCGGGGGTGGATGGACAGAACCCCCAACAGGGACACGTCGATTAGTGAATTGTCCGTTTTCGGTTTTCGAGAGGGCGCCGTGGCCGTCGTTTTCCAGGCTTGCGCCCGCCAGGTTTGGGCCTCAGGTCGTTTTCACTAAACCACGTTTTACTAAATCAGAGCCCCGAGTCGTCAGGGGTAACTCGGGTCAGGGATAACTCGGGTTCCTTTTTCGGGAACCCGAACCCGAGTTACCCCGGATCCGAGTTACCCCGGATAACTCGGGCGTCCAGAGCCCCAGAATCATCAGGGGTAACTCGGGTCAGGGGTAACTCGGGTTCCTTTTTCGGGAACCCGAACCCGAGTTACCCCGGACCCGAGTTACCCCGGATAACTCGGGCGCCCAACTAAAGGGGGGTCTGTCCATCCCCGAATCAGCGATTCGGGTAATTCGATGGGCGGCGGGGGTAGGACTCAGAACTCGTCGAGCACGTCGCGGAATCCGAACCCTGCCACCGCCTCCCATCGATTCAGGCCCATCGGTTCAGGAGAGTCGATGGTTGGTGGGGGTAGGGTTCGGGTGTCGCCACAACTCAACGATGTGATCGGACCTGGGCGGGAGTGGGGTGGGCGGGGGGGGGCACATCCAAGAGCGCAGGCCGCTACCGCCGCGCTGCACGCAACTCAGTGGGCAGGCCGCGCACCTGAGGTCGCTCTTGCCCAGACGGTCGCCACTTCTTGCGTGTAGCCGAGAGGAGTTCGCAGACGGCCAGTGCGAGACCGGGTCGTGCGCGACAGAGGACGGCCGACGGAGTTGGGTCCAGGAGAGGGAGGTGAGGAGGAGCAGGAGGAGGAAGAGCAGCAGGAGGAGGAAAAGGAGGAGGAGGAGCAGGAGGAGAAGGAAAATGAAAAGGAGGCTGAGGAGGAGGAGGAGGAGGAGGAAGAGGAGGAGGAGGAGCAGAGGCAGAAGGAGGAGGAGGAGGAGGAAGTGGAGAGGATTGAGTGTCGAGGGTTGGATTTCGAGGGCCAATATTATGAACAGTTCTCCCCTCGCCACCGCTGGATCCGCACCGATTCGCCTTCCCTTCTCCCTTCGCCACCGATAAGAACGTACGTCAGGAGGTCGGGGGCGATAGTTGAGGAGGAGGAGGCGGAGGAGGAGGAGGAGGAGGAGTAGGAGGAGGAGGATGTTCTCAAGATGTTTCGCCAGGGAGTGTAGCTCCACTGGCAAGCAATGGGGAAACATGAGTACATTCCCCAGTCTGTTCAACATTTGCATCACAGGTCATCCTGTATCGACCGATCGACTTGTCCAAGGTCTTTCCAGGAGAAGGAGCTTGTGATGTTCATTGCTTTGTTGCTGAAGACTTCTGGTATTCTCGGCGGCTTCCCGAGGTCGTCCGAGGTTTCCGTATGCCCTCCTTGGTGTTGGTGCGCGGGATGAGGAGGAGGAGGAGGAGAAGGAGGAGGAGGAGGAGGAGGAGGAGAAGGAGGAGGAGGAGGAGGAGGAGGAGAGGAGGAGGAGGAGGAGGTGGAGGAGGAAGGGGAGGAGAAGGAGAAGAGGAAAGAAGGTGAGGAGGAGGAGGAGGAGAAGAAGAGGAGGAGGAGGAGGAGGAGGAGGAGAAGGGGGGGCGGAGGAGGAGGAGGAGGTGGAGGAGGAGGAGGCGGAGGCGGAGCCTGCCGTCTCGACCTTATTCGGGGAACCGCACGCGTATGCATCGCGGCGCGTGGATTAGCGACGCGTCCCGTTGCTATACGAGGTGGACGCGCTTCTTCGCGAAATAGAGCGGCGGTGTCCTCCTCCTCCTCAAACTCCTCCTCCACCTCCTCCTCCTTCTCCTCCTCCTGTTCCTCCTGTTCCTCCTCCTCCTCCTCCTCTTCTCCTCCTTATTATCCTCCTCCTCCTCCTCGCCCCGACATGACGCCCACGCGCCAGATCTACAAATCCGCAGTCCACGTCAGCGCGCGCCTGGTCTTGGGGTGGCGCTCTCGGGCTCGTCAGCCCCAGGACTCGACGAGCGACGCTCGATCCATACCCCTGCTGCTGACCCCGACTCTGAACGCCAGGGGAAGCAGGCATGGACAACACCGTGGCTCCACAGGCCAGATTGGACTCCATGCCTGGCGAGGCAAAGAGGTTCCGATGCCGCTACTCCCGAGAGCTCGCCAGGGGCGCGTGCGGGCCAGACTTCCGAGGCGAATCCAGCCGACTCTACGAGGACATGGGCGCGGCATCGGTATCTCTCCCTCTTGCTTGTGGGCGCCGCCGCTCTGGCCCCGCGTGGGGTCAGAGCTCGAGCGGGGGGCATGGACAACACCGTTGGATCGCCGAAGGACCTGTGGTGGGACAGCCGGGACGAGCGGGAGCCCTTCGGCGGCGGCCTCGCGGAGGAGCTCCTGCGCGGGCTCGCCGAGGCCAGAGGGGCAGCTGACGTCACGCACCCTCGGGCGGGTGGTCGTGGGCTTGGCATCGCTCGGACGTGTGCATTTTTCCTCAGGCGAGGACCATCGAGGAGCATTCTGGACCATCGAGCAAACAAAAGACGCACGAAACCGAACAATGCGCGGGAAATGGACGTCCGAGCGACGGCCAGTGGGGGCTGGAAGGAAGTCTGCGGCGCGCGAATGGCGGAGGTAAGAAGGAGAAGGCTTTCGCAGAAGGCGGCGGAGCTTCTCAGAAGCCCTCGCGCCCTGCTGGGGGACTGCTGCGTCTTCGGGGAAGGCCGAGGAAACTTCTCGGAAGGTCAGGGGCCTTCGAGCCGTCGGAGCAGGCCCGCTCCTGCTCACTTCCCCCGGGGCTCGCCGCCGAGATTGGGTCGTCTTAGAGGCATCCCGCCTCTGTCGTACGGGCCCCAGTAGCGCGAATCTGCCGTCGCATTCTGTGAGCCTGCAGCATGTGGCCCGATGACTTCCGAGAGGGTCGGGGCCCTTTTTTGTCCAATTTGCCGAAACCGTTCCAGGCAGTACTTAACATTCTAGCACGCTCCAACGTGCCAGGGTGCACGGTGTAGGGGGCCAGATGCGAACCCTACCCCTACCCCCTCAGAAATCGTGGGGGGTATGGGGTAGGGTTCGCATCTGGCCCCCTACGGTGGTTGTGCACCTTGTATGGTGTAAGCTATGTGGTGTGAGCTATGTTGTGCAAGCTACGTGGTGCAAGCAGTGCTGTGCAAGCCAGAGGCCGAAAGCGGGTCGAAATTTCCTGTCGTGTTTGTTGTTTTTCCTTACGTCTGGCCGCTCCATTCTTGTTGGATGCGTGGGCCTCCTGGACAGCTGTTCGACGACCCAGCGGCACGGCGGGGGCCCCCAGGGCCCAAAAGCGCAGCGCAACATTTGCCGCTCCAATGTTTGTCCGAGCATCGGATCTCTGGGATCGGTGGCGGCCAAGAGGGGGGCGATGACTGGGGCCAGAGGAGGGACAAAGTACCCATACTGCTACCCTTTTCCGCGTTTTCCCCTCTTTGGGTCTCCCGGGAGGCCCTCGTCGCCACCGCTGGATTCGCCTCCAAATTTTAGTCTGAACGCACCCGGGAGAGGTTGGGGGGGTAGAAGTATCGTTTTTTCTGTTTCCCCATAGGGTGCGCATAGTGGCGGACTTCATGGCGGGGGCCATGATATCTCCCCAGATTTCACGGCGCCCCTTCTTCTTTCAATACGGCCCCAGACCCCCCCCCCTGGGCCGCGCACACGCCGGCGGCCATGACCTGCACCCCCCTCTCTTGGACGCCCCCCCTTTTGGCCTCAAGTCGGGCCCGTCCCTCTACAGGAGGAAGAGTCCACATAAAATAGTCAGGGGACGATGTTTTGACTAGTGTCCACCATTTGGGAGTATTTTTGGGGTACTTTTTTCAATTTTTCGTCCAAGATCCCCCTGGAGGAGGACAGGCCCGACTTCATCTTGGCCGCCCCAGGCGGGAAGGCTTTTCCCTGCGGGCCGAGGGTCCCCCCCCGGGGCGGCACCCGAGGGCGAGGGCCCTCCGGAGGCCCCGCCGAGCGCCCTCCGAGCCGAGGGCCCTCCGAGCGTCCTCCGGGCGCGGTACCTGTTTGTTTGCTTGTAGTCTCCAGGAGGAGGAGGAGGAGGAGGAGGAGGAGGAGGAGGAGGAGGAGGAGGAGGAGGAGGAAAGGAGGAGGAGGAGGAGGAGGAGGAGGGAGGAGGGAGGAGGGAGGAGGGAGGAGGGAGGAGGGGGAGGAGGGAGGAGGGAGGAGGTGGGAGGGAGGAGGAAGTGGGAGGGGAGGAGGAGGAGGAAGTAGGGAGGAGGGAGGAGGGAGGAGGAGGAGGGAGGAGGGAGGAGGGAGGAGGGGAGGAGGGAGGGAGGGAGGAGGGAGGGAGGGAGGGAGGGAGGGAGGGAGGGAGGGAGGGAGGGAGGGGGAGGAGGGAGGGAGGGAGGGAGGGAGGGAGGGAGGGAGGGAGGGAGGGAGAGGAGGAGGGAGGGAGGAGGAGGAGGAGGAGGAGGAGGAGGAGGAGGACGAGGACGAGGAGGAGGAGGAGGAGGAGGAGGAGGGTGTTCTGGCGGCTGTTTGGCCGAATTGTCTCTGATCCCCGACGAGTGTTCTCTCCGCACGGGGCTCGACAGCCACTCCCTTCCTTGGCGGGCGGGCCGCTCGGGGAAGGCTGTTTAGAAGCACCCCTGCTTCTTGGAAGGTGCGGGTCTTATCGTTAGACGCAGGGCCCAGCGCCTTCTGGGAAGCAGCTCCCTTCGAAGCAGCCTTGGCTCGACGGCCATCTCCCCCCGCTCAGGAGGTAACGAAAAAACGCAGAGACACACAGAATTGTCGATCACCAGGAAAAGATTTGAAACTATGGAACGCGCAGGGGAAGACCACGAAACTCCCGAGGATATAGAAAATTATGGGGCATCCTGGGATTTGATGTCCATCTATTTGAGCGTCCCTGGGCCCCGCTTGGGGAGCGACCCGTCCCCCTGAGCCGCTCGCTCAATCCGCCCCTCTTTCGGCAGCGTTCTTTCCCGCTCCTCCTCCTGCAAGGTGGCCCACTTCGCTCGCGCGGCATCCCCGTTCAGGCCTCCCGTCGCCAGCGCAGACGTCCCTGTCCCAGCCGCCGACGCACAAATTGTGCGTCCCTGGGCGGCACGCTCGGGGAACCAGACTGGAAACGTTGAGAAGCGCAGGGGAAGACACCGAAACTCCCGAAGACATCAGAAAAGAATAGGGCCTCCTGGGATTTGATGTCTACGGATTTGAGTGTCCCATGGGCGGCACGCTCGGGGAACTAGACTGGAAACGATGGGAAGCGCAGGGGAAGACGCCGAAACTCCCGAAGACATCAAAAAACAATGGGCCTCCTGGGACTTGGTGTCTACGGATTTGAGTGTACCATGGGCGGCACGCTCGGGGAACCAGACTGGGAACGATGGGAAACGCAGGGGAAGACGCCGAAACTCCCGAAGACCTCGGAACGAAACATGGGGCACCCTGGGACTTAGTGTCTATGGATTTGAGTGTACCATGGGCGGCACGCTCGGGGAACCAGACCTGGAACGATGGGAAACGCAGGGGAAGACGCCGAAACTCCCGAAGACCTCGGAACAAACAATGGGGCACCCTGGGATTTGGTGTCTATATGTGTGTCTGAATGCCCCTGGGCGGCACGCTCGGGGAACCGGTTTGCCTGCGGCCTCTGCCAGGGCCTCCGTGCCCCCCCGGCGGGCCTCCCCGCCGGGGGCGGCCCCGCGGGGCAGCCGCCGCCCGTCGATAGCGCGCCGCCTGGCGGCGGACCGCTGCCGCCCGGCGCGGCGGCGGAGCCGGGCCGCGAGGAGGCGCGAAGCGGGGAGGGGGACGCTTTCCCCTCCCCTTCTCTTCCTCCCTCCCCCTCCTCCCCCCTCTATTCCTCTCCTCCCTTCTCTTCCTCCCCCTCCTTCCCCCTTCTATTCCTCCCCCCCTCCTCCTCTGGGAGAGCAAGAGGTGTTTACTGATACCGCCAGTCCTCGGACCTCGCCATGGGTACGCTCTGACCAGAACTTCGAAGCAAATTCCGGGGGTGGCGACGAATGCCTCCCGGGAGGCCAAGCAAGGGGAAGACGAGGGAAGGGTAGCGGGAAGGGTACCTTTTCCTCCTCTGACCTTCTCTTCCTCTTCCTCCTGCTCTTCCTCCTCCTCCCCCTCCTCCTCCTCCTCCTCCTCCTCACCCTTCTCATCCCCCTTTCTCCTTGCAACAATGAGTGCGGCGCGAATTAAGCCTGAAGGCCGACCAGGTCCACGAGGCCTCCCCGAGCTGGAGGCTGGGGATGTCTCGAGCGAGAGAGGCCCGCGCCACCAGGGAGACCCCCACTGCTCCTCGCATCATCTCCTCGCCCTGGTGGCGTTGGTGTCGCCTTTCCTTGTTCCTATCATGCAAGGGAGGAAAGACCACCCGGACCGGGCAATGGGCATCTACGAAACGGCCCTGGGCGTTTACTGAACAGCCCTGCCCTTTGTGATTCCTTCCTTGGGTGCGTCTACCAAACTGCTTCGCGTGTTGGGGTGGTTCTTTTGGTGGATGTTCTGCCCTCGAATCCTGGCAGACCGTCGCCTTTCTCGCTGTGTACGCCTTCTGGCTTGGCCAGGAGAGCGCACACAGCGATCCTGGGCCCGCGATGAGCCTGGCCAGGGCTGGTGTGCGCGTCACTGTGGCGCCCGTCGCCCGCCTCGATCGGGCCAGACGAATGGGGGGGATAGGGAAACGGGGGGTTACGAAGTCTGCTGCATGCAGCTGGTTTCAGCCCCGCCGCCGGGCCCATTCCTCGATACATGGCCGCCTCCGGCGCCAGGAGGCGCCGGGGAAATCAGCTATACGTGAGCTGATTCTCAAACCCCCCCTTTGCTATCCCCTCCTTTCGCCCGGCCTGGCCCGACTCGAGGCTCTGGGCATGCCACATCGGCACATCGGCGATGCGGCTCGCTGTGGAGCCCGATTTTTGTCGATGCGGATGGCGCCGGTGCATCGCCGACGTCACCAATGCATCACCGACGCATCGGCGATGCGGATCGATCCCCCGACCCCATGTGCTCGGACTCCGTTTTGGAGGCCTGCGGAGACGGCCATTACAGGGCGGCCTCTTTTTGTTCCACGACAGCTTCCCCCACCCGAAACATCATACCCTCCTCCTCTGTTATGATCGGAGGTGGATAGACCTCCTACCCTGACACGTCGATTAAGGAATTGGCCGTTTTTGGTTCGTGAGAGGGCGTCGCGGCCGTCATTTTTGCGGGTCCAGGTCCGTGTCCGTCGGTTTCGGTCCCAAGCCGTTTTCACTAAGGGGAGGTTTACTAGAGGGAGGTATGTCCACCGCCGATATGAAATCCGGAGAGCTCGTACTTGCAGCGCTCGTCTCCCGACCCGAGGCGGCCGGCGGCGTCTCGAAGCCGGCTCCCGAGCTCACGCCGGCGACGTCACGGACCGTCCACTTCGACGTGTGCAGCGAGAGCTCCGACTCCGACTCCGATTCCTCGGTGACCAGGTCTGGCCGAGGGCGGCGCCCGCGGTGCGGGCCCAGGTTCTGCTCGGTACGATCGAGATGGGTACGGGAAGAATGGGTACGAGTGCGGGCAATGTCTTTATCCACATCCAGTGCGTCTTGGAGTTTCGGACTCTCTTCCCAAGAAACATGAGGCGCACTGGATATGGATTATAATCTGCCCCCAAACGGCTCAATTTTTATCCATATCCAGTGCGCCTCGGCCTGGCGGCGCCCCTTCCAAGAAAGTCCAAGACGCACTGGATATGGATATAAATATTGGCCGCAACGAAGACCAGCCCTCGAGCAGCGATCGTGACCGTATCCGCGCCCTCGCGATCTAGATTCCTCTGCGCAATCCCGCGGATGCGCGGTCGCCCTGATACGTTCCGCGCGGGGTGTCCGCGGAACATCTCTCCCTATCCGCGGGGTCGCGGCCCAGGGGCCTTGTTTGTGAGGCCGCGGATACGGGTATGGCTTCCGCTTGCGACCAACCGCAGGTCCTGTCAATTCTGAAGAGGACTCGCCGTCGGCGTTGCCGCGGACGTTGGTCCGTCCTATTTGCGACAGAAGGCCGCCTGCCAAACAGCGGCCGCTGTCGGTTTGGACGACACCTGCTGTCGGGCATCGTGCCCATTCTTTCCGTACCCATGTCGGGCGTCCAAAGGCATTTGCATCGGGGAAGGGGTCCCGAGGGAAATGGGGCCTTGAGTTTTCTCAACTCTTTCGTGATCCGGCCGCCCCCCCTCTAACGGACCGTCAAGCAACGACCCTTCAGGATCAATGGGTTTGGCATTGGGGAATGCCCCAGGTTCCAGGTCCCGTGTTCCCCAGGAGCTCTTTCCGTCGTGCCGAGGTTCTTCAGCCTGTGCGACTCGGACAGCTCAGAGGACCTGGGGCTGGAGGCCTGTGGCGATGATGATGACGATGAGTACGCGGGCGATTGGACGGTGAGCCTTTCAAAGGCCGAGGAGCAATGTCTTACAGCATTGCCCTCCCCTGGACTTTGAGGCGCCGTCGCCGCTGCCTGCAGAGTGCTCCGTAGAGTGCGGGAGCCAGCAGCCGCGAGGCACGAGTCGGGCGCGCTGTCTTTTGTTTTGAGGCGTCGTCTCCGCCTTCCCTCGCCTCGAACAACAATAACTGCATACATATAACCCATAACTCTGACATCCAGCGTCTCCAAACAATCGAGACAGAAGTTCTCATGGGTTTCGGCCTCTCGGGGCCCTTGACGGGCCTCGGGTCCGTCAAAAACGATTCGGAATGAGAAACCAGCCCCGGAGAGGTGCTCGAGAGGTCGGCGGCCCGTGTCCCGAGACATCGGAGAGAGCGTGATCCACCGCCGCTTTACTGTGGACAATTCCCCCCCCTCTTCCTCCAGAACCCAGGGGTCCCCCCCCCCCTCCGAAAATCCCCCCCCCCCTACTGGAACCCCTTCCCTCCCCCATCCCCTTGGCAACCCCCCCCCCTCCCCTACCCCCCCCCCCTCCCCCGGAAAACCGGGGGGGGGTCACTACCAGTTCGAACCCCTCCTCCCCCCCCCAGAAAACCAGAGAGGGGTCATTACCGGTTCGAACCCCCCTCCCCCTCCAGAAAACCGAGGGGGTCGTTATCGGTTCGGACCCCCCCCCAGTCCATCATGAAATGGGTGGGGGGGGGTCACTACCGGTTCGAACCTCCCCCCCCCTCGAAAACCAGGGGGGTCCGTACTGGTTCGAACCCCCCCGCCCCCTTCTCGAAAACCGGCAGGGTTCATTACCAGTTCGAACCCCCCCCTCGAAAACCGGGGGGGGTCACTGCCGGTTCGAACCCCTCCGCCCCCCCGCTCACCGCCAGCACACAATTCTGGGTCCCTACCACCTTCCGCACCACATCCCCCATTGCTGTCCCCAGCACCACTGTCCTCACCACCACTGTTCCCACCACCGTCACCTCTCCACTATCCTTACCAGTGCCCCCACCACTGTCGCACTGTCCCCACTGTCCCCACCACTGTTCCCACCACGGTTCCACTCTCCCCACTTTCTCCACGGCCCCAACCACTGTCCCGCTGTCCCCACTGTCCCACTGTCCCCAACGCTGTCCTACTGAGCTGTCCCAGTGTTCCCACCACTGTTCACACTGTTCACACCACTGTCCCTACTGTACCTCTGTCCAATTATCCCACCGCCGTCCTCGCCACCGCCCTCACCACTGTCGCCACCACCACTGCACCCTCCACTGTCCCACTGTTTCCACCACATTCCCACTGTCCCCACACCACTGTCCCCACCACCACTGTCCCCACCACTGTCCCACTATCCCCACTGTTCCCATCATTGTCCCCGCTGTCCCCACCAGTGCCCCCCACCAGTGTCTCACTGTCCCCACTATCCCCAACACTGTCCCTATGGTCCCACTCTCCCCACTTTCCCCACGGACCCCACCACTGTCCCACTGTCCCCCACTGTTCCCACCGTTGTCCCACTGCCCCCGCCGCTATCCCACTGTGCTGTCCCACCGTCCCCACTGTCCCCATCACTGTTCCAGTGTCCCCACTGTCTCCACCACTCTCCCCACTCTACTACTGTCCCACCACTGTCCTCACCACCGCCTTCACCACTGTCCCCACCACTACCATCCCCACTGTCCCGCCGTCCCCTCACCACTGTCCCCACCACCGTCCCCACCACTGTCCGCACCACTGTCCGCACCACTGTCCCACTGTCCCCGCACCACTGTCCCCACCACCACCGTTCCACCACTGTCCCAACATCCCCACCATTCTCCAACTGTCCCGAGGAGCGGGCATCGTTTCGTTTGCCGGCGGCGAGGGGGGGAGGGCAGGGGGGGGGGGTCGAACCGGTAGTGACGCCCCCCAGTTTTCGAGCTAGGGGGGGGGGTTCGAACTGGTAGGGACCCCCCGGTTTTCGAGGGGGGGGGGTTCGAACCGGTAGTGACCCCCCTCTTTTCATGATGGATTGGGGGGGGGGTTCGAACGGGTAGTGACCCCCCCCCTGGTCTTCGAGAGGAGGGGGAAGGATTAGGAACCCCCAGTGACCCCCCCCGGTTTTCCGCCAGCAGCGCTAGAACACGCCCTGTCAAGCATCGAGACGCCAGATGTGTGGTAACGTTTCGGAGGCAGTCGTTTCATTCAAGAGTGAGGAGGGGAAAAAACACACAGACACAAGTAATCGTCCACTCCCAGGAAAATATTGTAAGTGATGCACGGGAATGATTGTGAATGTCTGCCGCCGTTTATCTCACAGGCACTTCTCTTCGGGAAGAGGCATCGTTGATGGCAGGGCGGCTCCTCGGCGCTGGCGCGCAGTGGGCTGCGGCCATCAGCGGGCAGGCGCTGGGCACCTGGCTGGGCGGCACCAGCCAGGGGCACGGGTGCGAGTGCTCCTGCCACTTCGAGGCCTCGCCAGACGAGGCGCTGATCGGGCTGCTCAAGGGGCAGCTTGACAGGTGCGGGCCAGAGCACCTCCACGGGCAGCCCGCCTTTGCACCTGACTGCCCAGCCTGCGCCCCTTGCCCGCCCGGGCACACCGGGCTCGAGGTGGTCCTGGCGCTGCTGTTGGGGCTTGTGCTGGGCGCGGTGCTGCGCGAGGTCGCCTGTGTGTTCGGCCGTCGCTCTGCTCCCGTGACCTCGGAGTCGATTGATGTCAGCAGCGCGCACGGCCAAGGCGTTGGAGAGCCTATCGATCGGGTGCAGGGTCCTCGCCTACTACGATCGAGACGACAACTACTGGCATGAAAGATATATCATCGGGAAGGTTACCGACACGCGCTTCATTGTGGTCACCCCACACTTCGACATCTACGAGGAGGACTTCTCGGAGAGTCTCGCGCTCTGCCTCATCGGCCCCCGAGGGGGGCTGCCCACCAAGCTCAATGGGCACATCCTGCGCCTGGACATGGACAGGTTCAGGCGCAACGAGGCGCGACTGCTCGGGGAGGGCCGTCAGCTGGCCAAGGAGATCCGCGAGGCCGAGGGGCTCCCAGAGGGCCCGCCTGGCGCCCTCGCCGACGCCGCCGCCGACGGGGATGCTGCCCAGCTTCCCCTGCCGCCGCCCCCAGGCGCCCCTGGGGCCGCTCAGGGCGGCGCTGCTCGCGCTGGTGGCGCTGGCAAGTCTGTTCGCTGGGTGGCCGCCGAGGAGCGGGCTGGCTACAAACCTGGAGACGAGGTCGGGCTGCAGCAGCCCGAGGCCGTTCTGGGCGACCGTGGCGTCTGCGAGCTCACCGACGGCACCGTGCTGGCTGTGGCCAAAGAGGGGGCGCTGGAGAGCACCGCCACGCCACGGGCGGCAGCCGAGCAGGACTTGCGGACGCTTCCTGTCAGGTACGACGCGCGTGGCGTCCGCGTCAGGGACTTCACCGATGCGGTGGATCGGATGTCCTCGACCGCCATGCCCGACTGGCCTATCAAGGGCCCCCGCACGACCCTATGGCTGGTGCAGCAGTTCAAGCGACTCGGTCAGACGCCCTTGCAGCGGCACCAGTGGTGGCGCCAGACTCAGAACCTCACGGCAGCGGATGCAGGCGTTGACGAGCACCAGTTCTTGTCGGAGCTCCTCGAGATGGGGGCTCAGACGGACCAGCTTAATGAAGGTGAGCTGGCAGTGTACGAGACGGTCGCGAGGCGCTACCAGCTCTGGGAGGAGATCTACGCCAACAGGCTGCGCGGGCACGAGAGCGGTGCGCTGCGCAGCTCAGGGAGTTCGGCGTGGCTGGATGAGCGCGAGATCTTCCTGGGCCAGGAGCGGGGCAGAGGAGGAGCGCTCGTCTGCCCTGAGCTGCAGACCTGGGTGGCGGACCGCCTCCAGGCCGAGGCAGCGGTGCTCAAGGAGCGCCGCAAGGGTCGCGAGGAGAAGATCCTGGCTCGAGGTGTCGGCCCGGGTGGAGGAGATGACGACAGTGGAGCCCCTGCCAAGGCCAGGTCAAAGGCCAAGGCGAAGGGCGTGGCTGAGAGGGCCTGACGCCCTCATCCTTTTCGAGAAGTGGCTTGGTCGCCCGCCTGCCCCCGAGCGGTCGACTATTTTCAAGGGGAGGCGCCGCGTGGGCGCTATGTTTTCAGATGAGGACGTCGGAGGCCGTCATCGAGACCTTCTGCCGATTCCTGTTGGCGCAGAGCTTCGTTCCATGCTCAGTGGTGAAGGCGCATGGGGCACCTCTCCATCGGCGAAGCGGAGATCAGCCACGAGGAGGCGGCAGGACCAGTGGCTTCTCGAGGGCATCGCCTCCCTCAATGAGCTGGGCGGGCAGGGGCGACAGGTGCCCAGCCACGCCCCGCTGACGGCGGCCCAACGTGTGGCCGTGCGGCGGCTGGCCTCGCTTTACGGCAAGTGGTCTCCGCCCGTTGATCGTCCAAGTCCCCATGCGGCATGGTCGTTGCTGCAGGGTCTCAGGCCTGGCTACTCTGAAGCCGAGGCCGCAGGTGCTCGAACAGTCTACCAGCGGGGGAACATCTCGCTTCCCAAGATCGGTGCTGGCAAGGTCCCCCTCGTGGACGTCCTTCCTGCTGATCTGCAATCCAAGCTGGAGTCTGGGCACGGGCTGTTGCGTTCCCCTGAGGAGGCAGCAGCGCTAATTCGTGATGCAGGTGCTCCTCGCGCCATGGATCCAAAGCTGGGCCGCCTGGGCTACGACTATGGCCACGCGCTGGGCGAGCTCTTCGCCTCGGGGGTCATCGAGTGCAGCTCAGAGCCGGTGCTCGAAGAGGCGGGCATGTTCTTCGTCGCCCGCAAGGATAAGCGGCTGCGTCTCATCTGCGACACCAGGACTCCCAACATGCACTTCACTGTTCCTAACCACACCGCCCTTGCGACGGGCGAGGCTCTCTCCTCGCTGGAGGCGTCGGGGGTGAACTTCATCGGCATGAGTTCTGGAGACGTTGACTGCTGTTTCTATCAATACTCACTTCCGCCCTGGTGTAGGCGCTACTTCAACCTGCCGACTATTCAGAGTCGCTTCTTGCCGCTCGAGGTCAGGAACGCCTGTGGGTTGTCAGGGAAGAGCGGCCAGGTCCGTTTTCGTTTCAAGGTCGTGCCGATGGGCTGGAACTGGGCCGTTCACTTCATCCAGGAGGCTCACCTCCACATCGTCAAGTCAGTTTTGCCGTCCCAGCCGTGGTGCGTGGACAAGCACCCGGGGATGGACCTGAGCGTGGAGGACGCCAAGGTTTTGTATATCGACAATTTCGCCGTACTGTCTGCCTCGCCCCAGCGCGCTGCCCAGGCCGCCTATGACATGAAGGCGGCGCTCGCGGCCAAGGGAGTGGTGTCCGAGTTGGACCCCCAGGCCAGCGAGGTGGGCGAGCTGCTTGGGTGCGAGCTTGACCTTCGCACAGGCTGCTGGCAGGTGTCTGGCCGCCGTCTGTGGCGCCTGTATGGCGCGCTCGAACACCTTCTCTCCTCCCGGAGAGTCAAGGTCTCGGGCCAGGAGCTGGAGCGCCTGATTGGTCACATCGTGGCAGCGCTCATGGTGCGGCGTGAAGGTCTGGCTTTGCTTCATTCTTCGTACGAGTTCGTGCAGGCCTCCTACACCAAGCGGCAGCCCCTCTGGAAGAGCGTCCTCCGCGAGCTGGGCTGGGTCAAGGCGCTCCTGCCTGCCTCAGGTCGGACACCAGACGGCCCTGGTCGGAGCTCGTCACGTGCTTCGACGCCTCCCCTTGGGGGTATGGAGTCGTCGAGACCGAGTGGGACCTGGGCGACGTGCAGCGCGTGGGGAGGGTGTCTGAGCGCGCCCGCTTCAGAGGCGTGCTCGCGACCGAGGGCGCGCCTCGCGAGAGGGCGTTCGAGCACGAGGTCGCCTGCGCGCCCGACCCCGCCCTGCTGCTCGTCGGGCGCGCCGCCCGCTTCCCGGAGGTCAGCCACAGCACGTTGCAGTCCAGGACCTGGCGAGTGGTAGGCTGCGGAAGGTGGAAGCGGAAGGAAGCGATCCACGGGCTCGAGGGCGCCGCCCTCACCTGGGCCGTGAGGCGGGCCGGCAGAGATGCGCGCCAGCACGGCGCCCGCAGGCTTTTTCTGGGCGATAACATGTCTCTCACCCTTGCGGCTGCGAAGGGTCGAGCGGCTAATCATCGTCTTCTGGGAGTCTGTCGTGTGCTGCTTGCTGTGGGTATTGCCGCCGATCTTAAAATCCAGGTGAGGTGGATTCCGTCCGAGTGGAACCCAAGTGATGCACCCTCCCGTCGCTTTCAGCCCAAGCCTCGCGGCCCCGACGGGGTCCCCGCGGCTGCCGACGCCGGGCGGAATGGAGGTGGCGACGCTGCAGGCAAAGCTGCCGACGCCGGCGAGCCCAGCGAGGCGGCCCCGCCCCCGCTCCGCCCTTCGCGAGCGGAGCTTGCGCAGGAGCCGTTCGCCCTGCAGCCGCACGGTGGAGCGCCTGACGGTGCAGCAGCCGCGGGGCAATGGCAGCCCCCCTACGGGCCGCCCGCAGGCGCGGCCGCGGTGGCGCTCACCTCGTCGCCAGGCCCGCGCGGCAGGCATCCCGGCGCTGGCTGGGCCAAGGAGCAGGCTCGTCGCGGCTGGGCGGCGCGCAAGGCGTGGCCAGGATCCCTGGGAGAGAGACCTCGACCAGAGGAGGCGGCGCCTGTGCCCCCGCCAGACGCGGCTTGCGGCGGCCAAGGTGCGCTTCGCCACGCAGCAGCTGTATCTTGGAGCTGTCCTTGGTCTGGTTCGCTGGCTGTGTCTGGGCTGCCTCCCGGACTGGAGCCGCCAGACCTGGGACGAGACCCTCGCCGAGTACATCGAGTCGATCTACGACAGGGGGGGCTCGAAGGCGTCGACGCAGCGGCTGGCCCCGGCACTGTTGTGGGCGGAGCCCCACCTGCATACGGCTGGTATCCGCGAAGTCTTCCCGCTGACCCACCAGACGCTGCGAGGATGGGGGGTGCTGGAGCCCTCCAAGTCCAGGCCGCCCGTGCCGTACCTCGTGATGCTGGCGGCGGCAACCTGGCTGTAACAAGCTGGAAAACCGTTGAGCGCCCTCGCCATCGTGATAATGTTCGAGACCTACATGCGCCCGTCGGAGGTTCTGGCTTTGCGAGCCCGCCAGGTGGTGCTCCCCCTACCGGAGGAAGGTGGCGCCTCAGCCTTTCTGACCTTTGTGGTGCGAGCATCGGAGTACGAGGTTCCCACAAAGACCAACGAGTACGACCTCTCAGTGCCCCTCGACCTCCAGAGGCAACAGTGGCTGGTGAAGCCGATCTCCTTCGTTCAAGCCCTTCGCGAGCCCGACGCGCTGTTCCTGGGCCTGAGCTACACAGAGCTGGCGGAGGACTTCCAGAGCGCGATCGAGGCGCTGGATGTGGGTGTACTCAGGCCCACCCTCTACTCCCTCCGGCATGGAGGGGCCAGCCAGGACCGCAGCATGGGCGTCAGAAGCTTAGGCGGCGTCCAGCAGCGCGGGGGATGGAAGACGTTCAAGTCAGTGCTCAGGTACGAGAAGCATGGCCGTCTGTCCCTCGAGCTTCGCAAGCTGTCGTCCAGGCAGCGCGAGGCCCTGCGAGCCAAAGGACAGGACTGCGCGCTCGCCTTCAACAAGTCCTTGGTGCTGCACTTCGCTCCGCGCCGCACCAGTCCCGCGTGTGCATAGAAGTCTTCTCTGGATGTGGGGAATTGAGTAAACACCTGAGGCAGAGAGGAGAGGCGGTCATCGAGTGGGATCTTCGCCACGGTGCCCATTTTGATCTGACTCGCCCGGCTGTTTTTAAGGTTTTGAGAGGTTGGATTTCTTCTGGCCTTGTAAAGCTCGTGTTTCTTGGGACGCCCTGCAGTGGGTACTCGAGGGCCCGACGGGCCCCTAGGCACAGCAAGATGCCTTCCGCCCTCAGAAGCCCCTCGTGTCCCATGGGTCTTCCAGGTCTTTCGGGCAAGGACCTCGAGAACCTCACTGTCTCCAATAGGCTAGGGTGGGTGTCCCAGCGAATTCAACGCCTGTGTTATAAACTGAATGTGCCAGGAGCCGAAGAAAATCCCTGGCAGAGCTTTCTGTGGCTTCGCCCTGATCGTCGCTCCTTCGCCAAGCTCCCTCAGGTGTGTGATAAAGTTGTGGACTACTGTGCCTGTGGGCGCCCCTTCAGAGCTCGAACCAGGATTCGGTTCTGGAAGTGCGCGCCCCACCCTGGTCTTGATAAACTAGTATGCACTGGCAGAGGTATATGTAGCTTCTCCCGTAAGCCCCACGTGGAGCTCACAGGTTTTTCTGGCAACAAGTTTTGCACGCTAATGAAAAACGCCTACCCTTCTGCTCTGTGTGCACTCTTGGCTGACAGCCTGCACAAGTCGTGTATAGCCCAGCAGTCCATCGGAAGGTGGAAACACATGCGAGGAATATAACTCCCCAGTTCAATGCTTGAGGTCGGGCTTTTTGAAGGTTGGCAAATCTGTGTCGCACTAGCCAGCCTAGCTTGCCCGTGCTTCGTTCGTTTCCTCAAGCAGCATGTGCCACTGGCAAAATGGACCAATCATGTAAGTGATGCACGGGAATGATTGTGAATGTCTGCCGCCGTTTATCTCACAGGCACTTCTCTTCGGCCCTCGCCAGCCCAATGCCTCCTTTAATCCGTGCCTGGAGCAAATCTGTGTCGCACTAGCCAGCCTAGCTTGCCCGTGCTTCGTTCGTTTCCTCAAGCAGCATGTGCCACTGGCAAAATGGACCAATCATGGAAAATATGGGAAGGGGGGGGGGAAGACAAAAACCCAGAAAATATGGACAACATAGGGAATATTTTTGTTTGTGTGTCCTGGGGCCCCTTCATGAGGCCTGCGCCATTTCCGCTGACCACCAGAAGAGGGATGACGTCCACGGGTGGGGCTTGTTGAAATGTTTTCTTGGGGGCCTTCTGGGAGGGGGTCTCTTTGGGTCTTTTGGGGGCCTCTTCGCGCCTCTCGGGATTTTCTTGGGCGCCTGCTGGCGGTCTCGGGGAGGAGGAGGAGGAGGAGGAGGAGGAGGAGGAGGAGGAGGAGGAGGAGGAGGAGGAGGAGAGGAGGAGGAGGAGGAGAGGAGGAGGAGGAGGAGGAGGAAGGAGGAGGGGAGGAGGGGAGGGGGAGGGGGAGGAGGAGGGGAGGAGGGTGAGGGGGAGGAGCAGGAGGAGGAGGAGGGAGGAGGGGAAGAGGGAGGAGGGCTGGGAATGTCAGTTCGAGCTGCCTCTCTTGGTGGGCCCCTCGTCTGCCCCTGTTGGAGCTCTCCTGGGCGCATCTTGGGCGCATGTTCGGCCGCCTTGGGACAATTGTCGGCCGTCTTGGGGCCCTCTGAGGGGCATCTTGGGCCGTCTGGTAGCGATCAATGTCGCCTCTTGAGCCGCCGTGAACGCTGATTAGACCAACCATTCGAATATGTTCAAAGTATGCGTTTTCCCTTTGGGTTTAGACGATTCTTGCTTCCTGGGGCCCTCTCGGGGGTCGTCGTGGAGCTCTCTTGGGGCGTCTTCGAAGCATCTTGGGCAGTCTTGAGGATATCTTGGTCGTCTTCGAGGACTCCTGTGCGTGTTGGAACCCTACTCGAGCAGGAGTAGATGGATGTGCAGGTATCTTATAGGGCACACAGTGTAGTAGTCAAAACTCTGGAGGCCACGGGGGAACGTTGGTGAGATCGGAGACCAACCCCCCCCTTAACTAATCGGATTCCAAGCCCCAAGGTTGGGGTTTGGGGAAAGGGGGAGAGGGACAGCCAGTCATCCCACACGGCTTTGCACCCCTGGTATGCGGTGGTCGGCGGATCCTCTGGCGATAACAGGCGTGACGGGGGGAGAGGGGGAATTGGGAGGATGCTTGTAATGTCACGGTTCGCGCCTTCTCAGCCGGCGCGGGCGCGAACCGTGACGTGACCAGAAGGGGGCGGTGAGGGGGGGGCGGGGGGGAGCTGGTCACGGGCGTCATCGCAAATAAGAGGAACATGGTTCTTATACTTGCGTGGGGACCCCTTTTCCCAACGTGCGGAGCCGACGGCGCCGCCAGGGGGTGGGCCCAGCGCCGACCCAAGAGTCCCACGCGGACGGCCGAAAGTTTATGTGTATGTAGTTCACTCCTCCTTCCCTCCTTGTATCTCCTCTGCATCTCTCGACCTAGCTTGAACCACATGGCGTACACCGCGGAGCTCACACAAGATATCTCACGCCGCATAGGTTAAACAACATATGTAGTGCAGAGCACATAGCTTACACCGCATAGCCCACACAACGTAACCACACCACATAGCTGACACTATCTAGCCCACACAGCATACCTTACACGACATAGCTTGCACAGCTTTACCGCATAGCTTGCACCACATTGCTTTCATCCCCACAGCGCAATCATTTATTATTGGGGGTCCACGCTGGCTTACATGTTAGTGCAACTTACTCCGACCTCCCTCTCTCTGCCTCCTCTGCCTCTATCCTGTCGGACTCCTGGCAGGACTTCGGATAAGCGCATCGTAGGGCCACGGCATCGGGGCCTTGAGCCCTCGCTGCCCGGCCACGTCGAAATTCGGGCCCGCCTCGGAACGGCACGTCTCGCGTGAACCAAATCTGGGTGCTGCCAGAGGTTGAGAGCCGCCTGGGGGTCGGAGGTGGCCCAGCACCTGGCTCTAGCCAGCAGGAAGGGTGGGCAGGCCCGAGCTTTGTTATGTTCTACTCGGCCTGGACGGGAGGCCGGGAGGGATCCCAGGACCGATTTTGATCAGGTGCGGCCACCCTCCCGTTTTCCTGGGCTGATCTCGGGTCCCAACCAGTTCAACCGCCATGGCCGCCTCCCATCAGAGGTGACCCTGGCCTGATTCCCACCATCCCCCGTCTGAGTACAAAATCACGACGGACGGCTTTTGTGACCGAGCGCGTTCCACTACTCGCAAAGTGCCTACTCGCAAACGTCCGAAATACACATGCTTGCCTTGATGTAATGTATCATAGATTCCCCCGCGGCGGACTCAGACCATTTGCGAGTAGTTCCTTTGCGAGCAGTGGAACGCGCTCGTCTATTCTGGCAGTGTCTGGGGGCCTTCACCTGTTACAGCACGGGTCAGGATGGAAAAAAACGGTCCCGGGGAACCATGGTGCAGACCTCCGGGGGCCCACGTTGTTGACAACTGCATTCCGCTCTGCACGAACGAGATGGGTACGGAAATAATGGGTACAACGCCCAACAGCAGTCCCTGCTCATTTTGAACAGGACTCGCTGTCCGCGCCGCCGCGGCCTGTGTCCATCTGAGGCAGAAGGCCGCCTGCCCAATAGCGGCCGCTGTGAGTTTGGGACAACATTTGTTGTTGGGCATTGTACCCATTTTTCCCGTACCCATTTCGGGCGTCCAAAGCCGCCGCAGTTCTGGGAAGGTGGCCTCTGCTGTCACAGGGAGGTGGCCTCGCCACCACCCCTCACGAGGCCCAGAGGGCCCCAGGGGCGCCCAGGTGGCGCCAAAACCCGGGCGGCGCACCTTTCGTGTGCGGAAGACATATCCGCAGCAAGGGACTCGCGGGCCGGGCCCCTGGGCCGCGACCCCGCGGATACGGGGCGTTTTTTCCAGGATTCGCGCGGAACGTAACTCTGCGACCGTTCCGCGGCATCGCCCCCCAGAATCCGCACACTGGTGAGAAATTTGGCCACACTTTGGGCCAGGGACGCGTGTGGCAGCACCCGGCAAATAAAGGAAGCATCAGAGTTGCTGCGACAGTGATGCGCGCGCCTTGATCATTCGGGCCGGACGAAAAGGGGGGGATTGGGAAAGGGGGGGTTACGAAATCTGCTGCATGCAGCTGGTTTCGGCCCCACCGAGGGGCCCATTCCTCGATACGTGGCCGCCTCCGGCGCCGGAAGGCGCCGGGAAAATCAGCTACGCGAGCTGATTCTCAAGCCCCCCCCCTTTTGCTATCCCCCCCTTTCGCCCGGCCCGAGAGTTGCTGCGGCAGCGATGCGCGCACCCTGACCGTGCGCAGGCGCTCGGCACGGCTCGAGGCAGGCCGGGCGTCCGACGCCGTGGCCTGTGGAGGGTCATGGCGCTGAGGATCCAGGAGCACGCGCCGACACACACACACACAGGCACACACAGGCACACACACACACACACACGTCACACACACAACACACAACAACACACAACAACACACAACACATAGGGAGGCAACATCAAACTTGTAAAGCGTACCCACCCGAAGTGAGCCAGTAAACCGTACCCACGTGTGGAGTGTCGCCCATTGATACATCATATGTAGAGCGACTGATTGCTTACCTGCGTTTCATCATCTTTGTGGGTAGACGGGAGCTCTAGTTGTCCGTCCATTTGGCTTTCGTTGGGGGGTGGTGGGCTTCCCCTTCCTTTTGAAGAGAAGCGGCTGACAGAGGGCGGAAGTCGGACATCCTACAACACTATCGCTGGACAGCTCCTATCGACACTCTTGAATTCCAGCCATGGCTTGGACGCTAGCTGTGTGCCCACGTATCCATATCGCGCGCGGCTGTGAGTGCAACGCGTACCTTCTTTTTCATCCTCTCTCCGTCTCTGCATCCCTTCGCCCTTCAGTCCCTCCCTCCCCCCTCCGTCAGCCCTCCCTCCTTCCCCCTTCCCCTCGCTTC